CGGAAGGCAAGACGGCAGGGAGAAAGGGTGGGAAATTCGAATTTCCAGCCTTTTCCTCCCTGCCTGTTTGCTTTCCAAGCTCTCAAAAGGCTTTCCCTCCAACATTGGAGGCATCAATAAACAATTGTAACAATAAACAATTTCTATTTGGTTCTTTTTAAAATGACACATGGCCTGGACCTCTGTCATTGATAATAAATGTTGATGTAATCAACTGGTGGCAGCTGAAAGACGTGTAGCGTAAGCTGTTAGTTTGGTGAAACAAGTAGGGGCCACGTTACGTGTAGCGTAAGCTGTTATTTTGGTGAAACAAGTAGGGGCCACGTGGGGATCTTGACAGCATCTTTCTTAAAGTGGGATGTCTAGACCTGGACACACGCCTCTACTGTATATGATGCCTACGCAGTGTCAAATAGAGGGGGACTAATACCTCATGGGATTTGGAGACTATACTTCTGTTAATGCAGCCTAAAATAGCATTTGCCTTTTTTGTAGCTGCATCACACTGTTGGCTTATATTCAGCCTGTGATCTGTAATGCCTCCAAGATCCTTCTCACTCGTAGTATTGCTGTGCCAGGTATCCCTCATCTTGTAACCGCATTTGGTTTTCTTTCCCACATGTGTAGAAATTTGCATTTATCTCTGTTAAATTTAATTGTGTTGTTCTCAGCCTAGTGTTTGAGTGTTTCAGCATCTTTCTGAATTTTTGTTTCTGTCTTCCAGGATATTAGTTATTCCACTCAGTTTTGTGTCACCCACAAATGTGATAAGTTTTCCCTGCACTCCCTCATCCAAGTCATTAATAAAAATGTTGAAGAGAACCAGGCCCAAGTCTGAACCCTGTGGTACCCCACTTGCTACCTTCTGCCAGTTTGAGAAGGAGCCATTTATAAGGACTCTCCGAGTATGATTCTGCAACCAAATGTGTATCTCATCATCATGTAAAGAAGCAACGAATTGAGGGCTGCAAGATTCTGTACTGGTCCTGCTGTTATTCACCATGTTTATAAATGATTTGGATGAGGGAGTAAAGGAAATGCTTATCAAATTTGAGGATGATAAGAAACAGGCAGAGATAGCTAATACTTAAGAAGATAGATTCAGAGTTCAAGGTAGCTTTAGCAGATTGGAGAACAGGTCCAAAAAAGCAAGTTAGTTTTACGTTCTACCTTTTATCGTGTAAAGTCTGGTGCACAAATATAATGTGGAGGACATTTTCCTTGACAGACGTATTTTTGAAAAGACTTTAAAGGCCTTAGTAGTGCACAAGGTAAGCCTGCATCATTACTGCGATGTGGCAGCAAAAAAAGTGAATGCAGTTGTAGGCTGTAGCAACAGAAATACAGGTCAAGGGAAGTAATAGCGCCATTGAATTCTTCTTTGGTCAGATGTCACCTTAAATACTGTGTCCAATTATGAAATAATTGTACAGAGGGCAATGAAAAACTAGACCACAATTATGAAATTATTTCATAATTGTACAGAGGGCAATGAAAAACTAGAATGCATACAAAGGATGATGTCGAAGATGGCAAATGTTCTGGAAACAAAGTGCTTTAAAGAATAATTGAATACTCATTCCTGCCTTGAGTAGAGTATTGGATTCAATGGCCTTATAAGCCTCTTCTAACTCCAGTAATCTGTGTTTCTAATACAATTATGAAATTATTTCATAATTGTACAGAGGGCAATGAAAAACTAGAATGCATACAAAGGATGATGTCGAAGATGGCAAATGTTCTGGAAACAAAGTGCTTTAAAGAATAATTGAATACTCATTCCTGCCTTGAGTAGAGTATTGGATTCAATGGCCTTATAAGCCTCTTCTAACTCCAGTAATCTGTGTTTCTAATATTTTTACCCTGGAGAAAAGAAGATATAGAGATATATGATAGCCTTATTCTTATATTTGAAGTTCTGTTTTGGAGAAGATGGAGCATGTTTCTTTTCTGCCGCTCCAAAAGTTAGGACCCAAAGTAAGCTACAAGAAAGGAGATTTTGACAAAAGATTTGGAAGAAAACTTTACAGACTGAGGTGTTTGAAAGTGGAAGCATTTTAGATTTTTAAACAGGTTCGATACAGGTAGGGATAGTTTAGTCCTCCTTCATCATGGAAACGGACTAGTTGACCCTTAAGACACCTTCCAATACTGTTGTTCTCTAATTCTTTAAAGGTGGTCACGCAGAGGAGGGGCAAGATCTGTTCCTGATCATCCCAAAGTACACGCAACAGTGGGCTCAAGCTACAGGAAGTCAGATTTAGGCTGAATATCAGGAAAAATTAATTGTTATAGCAGTACAAGAACAGAACCAATTACCTTGGGAGGTGTTGAGTGCTCCAATGCTGAAGTATTTTAAGAGAAAATTGGACAACCATCTGTCAGATCTGTTTTGATTTGGATTCCTGCATTGAGCAGGGGGTTGGACTTGATGGACTTACCGGCTCCTTCCAACTCTATTATTCTATTATTCTTTTATTTCAATATATTAAGTAGACTGCAGACTCCAAAAGCAATTTCTATGAAGTCCACTTTTGTGCCATTGCACTTCTAATTGTCACAGATTACCCAGACCTTAGACTTGAACCTTGTAAAAAACGAAAAGTATTTCCATGGAATCACCCCTTGTTTCCACTGTTTCCATGGATAAAATAGTCATTGCATTGTATTGCAGCAGACACAATTTTAAGCTTGGATTCAATGGATTTCAAGTAGACTTTTTTTCCTGTTTTTATTGTTATAGTATGTGATTTGTTTTAAGAATCCATACATTATGGTTGAAAGGTGCTGACACATTTTACTCAATAAAGTCAGTGTATCAGAATTGTATGTTTCATCATGAGTTGTTGGTTCTTGTTGTTGTTGTCCAGTTGTGAAATTCTTGGTTCAAAGTTCTGGCCTCAGTCCCCCAAGGACTGGTTGAGGTATAACAGGGTTGATCTCTCAATTGCGGTTGAGAGATTTACTTGTCGTAAATTTGGTGACACAAGATGGGGAGACTGTAGAGTGAGAGCTCACGAACCTCAGTTGACACCCAGTCTTTTTAACTGCAAAAAGACTGAATTATGCACTGCATGTAATGGCTTCTGTTTTTTTTAAATTTGGGGCAGCTCAGGATTCCCCTTTCTTACCTATACCATCCCTGCGGTGGGTTTGAAGATGTTGTTCTGGGTGGCTCCTTCCCACCTCTGTGACAAAACTAGGTAGCCAACAGCAGCGCATTTCTGGTCATGTTAAAGGTCAGAGTATTGGCTGAGGGGCTGTCGAGGCCCCTTCTGACCTAGGCCTTGTTTATACTGTGCACTCAAGGCCCCTTTTCTCCTCTTTGTATCAGCGATCTGCTCCTCTTGAGCTATGTTATCATTCCATTTTGACACCTTTTATCAAACTTTAATGAAATGACCCAGGCAAACAAATTGTCATTAAACTTTCCATCACTTTGTCCCTTGGCATTGTCTTTTATAAATTGGACAGCAAATGTTGTATTGATCTCCTCGTTCTTGCAGCTGAACTTGAAATGACCCAGACGGCTGGTTGTTTATGGCCTAGAGTTGCTTTTCCTTGACACTTCCATCCACAGCATGACATCTCTTTTGTTTTTCTTTCTTCCTTGTGGAGATGAATGAACAAGACATACAGTATCGAGACATCCTCGGTCATGGCAATGGAGGAACCGTCTACAAGTGAGTGTCCCCCACTTCCTTGCTCCAACTTTTGTGAAAGAAAGATTACCCCTTTCTGTGAATCCGTTATAAAGTAGCTGCCCTTTGTTTAAAGGTTGTATGTAATGTTTCTAGCAACCTGCCTGGATCTCAGGTGGCTGTGGAAGGGAGCGCCTATCGTATGAAAATATAATCTGTGGTTTAAGCAGAGTGTGAGTAAAACAGAGTGTGAGGAGCAGAAAACCTCTAGGACCTGTTCTCGCACTGGGGGTGTCGTCTTCAAGCAAGGAGAGACGATCATCTCAGGATGTAAAATGGGTATCACTTTATTATTTAAAGATGTGAGCACAGCGTGTTTCGGCTAATGTATTTTTAGCCTTCTTCAGGGGCTATAATATATAAAATAAAAGAGAAAAAGCATATAGGTGAGCTTCCTGTTTATATGGGACAGCATATAAGACATTTTTATAAAATTAGAACATGTTGTACTTACAACATGTAAATTACTCTAAATATCTAATATTGTATTAATGTTTGCACAAAGTGTTCCAATGTTATAAAAAATTCTTATATGTTGTCCCATACAAATAGGAAGCTCACCTATACACTTTTTCTCTTTTATTTTATATATTATAGCCCCTGAAGAAGGCTAAAAATATATTAGCTGAAACGCGTTGGGCATGCATATTTAAATAATAAAGTGATACCCATTTTACATCCTGGGACTATAGTCTCTCCTTCAGTGGATGTACCAACCCTCTTTGTTCTTGCACTGGTGAATCATATTATTAGGCAGAGGAACGATTACCTGGAAATACTGTACAGAATGCAGAATTAAGCCCTCTTTAGCAGGTGCTATGATTTTCTGAAAAAAAGTGGCTTTGAAAGGCATTTGATTAATATAAAGGAGGCAGGACAATCTGTAGCTAGTAGTCATATACAACATACTGTATATGATTTTTAATCTCTTTGCCACAGGTTATGACAGTACCTTCTAGCAAACATTACATGTATACATGGAGAATAGATTTATAGCTAGTTGCTAACTCTTTTGGTGAAGAACCTGGTCTGTTTGAGGTACCACAATTTGGGCTCAGGGATGCATGCCCCTGAAATATCCTGCTATCCAATATGTTTGCTCTCTTTCTATTGATAGATGGAATCTTGAATTGTATGACTTTCATCCAGGATTATGTTTTCAGTGATTTTATGGTATATCTGTATTGACTGATGGAACTATTGGGACTAGAGATGGGGGTGTTTGTATTTGTATAAAAATACTCCCGCACAGGTCGCAATAATGAGGGTCCGCCCCCCTAGGGCCAGACCATCCACTCTGCCGCACAGGTGGCAATAATGAGAGTCCGCCCCCCTAGGGCCAGACCATCCACTCACAATTCCGTTGCTGCCGCCAGCTCTGTGATCCTTCCTATCACTTCGGAGCTCGCAGTCGGGGATCCACTCTTCAACCTGGCAGGGAGGCTTGTTCGCTGCCGCTAGCTTTGTGATCCTTCCTATCACTTTGGAGCTCGCAGTCGGCGAACCACTCTTCAACCTGGCAGGGAGGCTTGTTGTCCTGCCTCCTGCCAGGAGTGGCTTGCCGATCATGAGCTCCGGAGTGATAGGAAGGATTGTGGAGCTGGCAGCAGCAGCGGAATTGTGAGTGGATCTTTGAGTACAAATGCCCCCATCTCTAGTCATTCTACTTAATTCTTGTCCTCTAGGCTAAATTTTCCAACAACATTTGGTTCTGCTTCGTTCCCTAGTTTTGTGTTCCAGTCACCTATGATAAGCATGTCTTGTTCTGGTGTGTGATTAATTTCCTCTTGAACATTTGTGTAAAAGGTTTCGATTTCATCATCTTCAACATTGGTTGATGGAGCATAGACTTGAATGACGGTTATGTTAATAGGTTATCCACAGAGTCTGATACAGTGGGGTCTCTACTTAAGAACGTCTCTGCTTAAGAACAATCCAACTTAAGAACAGCTCCATTTGCTAAATTTTGCTTCTACTTGAGAACAGAAATCCAAGATAAGAACAGGAAAAAAAACCTTTCCTGCTCTTTTTTTAACCTTAGGTCATCTTAGGTTAAAAATTTCCCCCCCCCTAGTGGTAGAGTATGTATTAACCAGCTTTGCATTAGTTCCTATGGGAACTAATGCTTCAATGTACGAACGCATCTCTACATAACAAAAAAACAGCCAGAATGGATTAATTGGTTTTCAGTCCATTCCTATGGGAAATTTTGCTTCAACTTAAGAACGTTTCAACTTAAGAACACCATTCCAAAATGGATTAAGTTCTTAAGTAGAGGTTCCACTGTAGTTTCTATGGACGGAAAAGAGCAGATACGGATTAAATGGTTTTCAGTGCGTTCCTATGGGAAATGCAGATTCAATATAAGAACTTTTCAACTTGAGAACCACCTTCCAATACGGATTAAGTTCTTAAGTAGAGACCCCACTGTACTATTCAGTCAGACCTTGCATTATAGTCCCTAACTGCCTCTGCCATTTCTTGCCTCAGTATTAGAGCCATTCCATTTCTTCTGCGTACATCATTTCCAGAGTAGAACATTCCATAGTTGTCTGACTGAAAATATCCCATTCCAGTCCATTTGAGTTCCCTGACACCAAACACTACGTTATTCCCATTTCTTGCTTTAGGGTTTCTGGTTTACTATGATTCATACTTCTTACGTTCCATGTTTCAGTTGTATGTGTTGTACTGGCTTCGGATTTTCCTTTGTTCCTCACTAGTAGCTGGTTGAGAGCTTTCTCATCCTAGGTCAGATATTTCAGTCCTTTTTTTCTTTTTGGACTGTCTCATCTTGGGTTATTCATGGTAAGGACATTCCAGTAAGGGTTTACCATTGCCACCTACTGTGCAGAACTAACAAAAGTCAGTTGGAGTGTCACCATCATTGCCTCCTTTGCTAGTGTCACTTCCAGCTACCACTGCTGTCCAGTAGCTGCCTTAAAGAGGGTGGATATTAATAATGTCACCTCTTTAGCCTTGGGTTCTTTCACCACTACTTTAGCATTTTCTGTTTTTTAAATCTTCCTCCTTCCTATGACTACCACCTGGCAGGACACTTCACTATTGCCTCCTAAGATGTTCTGTTGCAGTAGGGAAAAGTCCCAGAGAAGGTAAAAAGAAGCTACAGCAAGGGCCCTCCAGGTACAGTGGACCAGCTGAGCCTCTGAGAAAGGCACCCCCGCAGCAGAAGGTAAAAAGAAGCTGTAGCAAGGGCCCTCCAGGTACAGTGGTCCCCAACCTTTTTGGGACCGTGGACTGGCTGAGCCTCTGAGAAAGGCACCCCCGCAGGTGCGTGTGCACTCTTGGGCGCATGCATGAAGGGGGGAGGGCTCACGCTGTCGCTGGCACGTGCACAAAGCATCAGTGGGGAGGGGAGTGCGTCCGGGGGGGCAAGAGGTCTGTCTTCGCAGCTCAGTCTGGCTCAGGCCACGGACCAGCACCGGGCCACAGACCGGGGGTCGATGACCTCTGCTCCAGGAGGTTCTGAACCCACATATTTTTGTAAGAGCCTTTATTGGCATACCTACATCTTTTGACATGGGGCTCCTCCTACAATGCTAAATGCACTTTTTTGTCCCAGCATCCCTCTGGCAGTCCTTAGTTATTCAAACAGTTGTAGGTTAGAGAGAAGCAGGCGCACTTCACACTCAGTCAGCATTCAATATACAGTGGACCCTCTACTTAAGGAATTAATCCGTATTGGAATGGTGGCTGCAAGTCGAAAAGTCTGTAAGTCGAATCTCCATTGACCTACAATGCACTGAAAACCGATTAATCCCATAACCAGTGGTTTTTATTCTATTTTTATTCCATTTTGGGTTTTTTCTGGTCTGTAAGTCGATTCTCTGGCTGCAAGTCGAATCGAAATTTTGCAGCCAGAGAAGTCTGTAACTCGAAAAGTCTGTAAGTCGAGCCGTCTGTAAGTCGAGGGTCCACTGTACTGTACTGTATAGAGTTATATCTCTAGTGTTTTAATTTGTGGGTGCTTTAGGTTTTAATGTTCTTTGAGACCTCTCTTTGACATATTAAGATTCTTCTGGTAAAGCTAAATTAAACCAGTTTAACAGAAATTTCATTCATTCAGTTTCTTCTGAAGTCTCACTCCGTCCATGTAAATGGATGTTAGTCTTCTATCTTCCATCATTTCCACTTGCAGCTGTAGATCTTCTGTTGCTCAGTGGTTCTTAACCTTGGGTTACTCAGGTGATATTGAACTGCAACTCCCAGAAACCCCAGCCAGCACAGCTGATGGTGAAGGCTTCTGGGAGTTGCAGTCCAAAAACACCTGAGTAACTGAAGGTTAAGAATCACTGCTCTAAATGATCCACTTCATTTTTTTGCCCCCTTTCCTATCTTTTTGCCCATGCCTAGGCTGAATTCTTCAGGCCTCATTTTTATGCTGGTTTGAAGCTAAAATAGTGTGTCCAGATGTTTTTCTTATGGTGCTGCAGTGGCCTGGTATGTTGTTTCTCTTATGCTGATACATTTGCTATGGGCTATTTATTTTATTTTGCTTTATTTCCTTTTTGCCTTCGTTAGATTTAATTTTGCTTTGACAGAGTGTCTGAGTTAAGCAGTCGTCTTGGCTCCTAGCTGGCTCTGATCCTCAATAGTTCTGTTGCTACAATATGCTGCCCAGTCCTGGCATAGCTCCTACAAGATGACTCCATGATTGAATGAAGATTTGAATGTTTCAGCCGTTTCAACTGTAACTACAGTGATGCCCCGCTAGACGCTTACCCCACTGAATGACGAAATCACTTGAGGATGACTTTTTTGCGATCGCAATTGCAATCGGAATGACAAAATCACTTGAGGATGACTTTTTTGCAATCGCAAAATGATGTTTCCTATGGGGGATTTTTGATTAGGTCCTTGCTTTGCGAACTGTTCGTTTGCAAAATGATGATTTTTCCAGCTCTGCAAAATGGCTTTCCTTCCCAAAATGACTGGCTTCCCTTCGCAAAAGGCTGTTTTCT